ACTCTTCTCTCTCTCTCTCTCTCTCTCTCTCTCTCTCTCTCTCTTTCTACTTTGTTCCTGGTTTTTTTACCTTTTATCTTTCTTTCTATTTATATACTCGACTATTACTTCAGCAAAAGTATTTTAAAGATCGTGTTAGAGATGACGAATGAGTGAGATTGAAAAAGTAATTAAAAATTGAAAGTTTCTATCCGTTTCTATATTAAATGTCAACTTACATCCATATTTCCTTAAATTACAGTTTCAGCATCGTCACGACTAGGAAGTCCAAGAGCCTCAGCGATTAGAGCAAGTCGAAAAAGAGCGCTGAGTAGTTCACCATATTCGGACAGGTTCGACATTGACAGCATGATACGATTTAGCCCTAATAGCTTGGCGTCCATCGTGAATGGCTCGCGAAGTAGTAGCGCCAGCGGAAGCTATGGACATCTTTCCGCTGGTAAGTAAAATATCTTTTTTTTAATTTTAATCAATCGGACATCGGATTATTTAATTATATTGTACTTCTCAAAATTTATATGGTAAAAGAGAATTAATTTTTTTTTCATAATTATACGAAGATGTATTGGACATCATAATATAATGAATTATAACGAATTATAGTAAGATGATATTAAAGAGTAAACGCACATTATCAATGTCGTTTTAGCGAGCGGATACGCTTTTAAACAGCGATCGAAGCGATAGGCAGCGATGTATTACAGTACCAGTGCACATGAAGCCATTATATAGGCGGGAACCTTCTTGCTCGCGAGTTAAGAACGCCCGGTAATTTGCGATTAAATGAAGTAATTAACGAATTAAAATTCAGGCGGCGTGGCACGTTGATCGTTTGTCGGCGTTGCATCGTCGAATACCCGCAGGATGTTCCTGCTCGTTAAATTTGCCTTCGACGCGTACGCCATTGTGAAATATGCATCACCTGCATCATTCTATTCACATCATCCTTTCCTATTCATTTTGCTTCTATCGCCTGTACAATTTTCAGTATTTTTATTTTACATTTGTATCATAAACAACAGAAACTAAACTCGTTATAATTTATCGATTTACAATTAAATCATATATCTTAGTAGTTCTTAATTTAATCTAGGCTATGTCGAGTATAATCGTGATAAAGTAATGGGAAATTTATGTATAAACTTGTATTTGGACAAATATTAGATTCAAAAAACAAGAGTTTAAGTTATCATGTATGCATAATATAATAATATAGTTTCTATCTACGCAGAGTTACTTTATCGTTTCGTAATAGAGGCTCACAATTGAAATGCAAGCTTAGCCTACGTGCCGGAAGTCCGGCGTATCGTGCTCGGAATGTCAAAGAAACGGACATGCGGTCCGATTTCGATGTTATTCTCGTATTGCAACCATATTCGAGCGATTCATGTATTAAGCATCCGATGTGTCCGTCAATTGCTAAAGATTTATTGATACAGATATTTAAGTATCTTCCATACTAAATTCTTCTATTTGGAATTTATTATTTTTACAAAATTATCTCATTTTTTTAGCGATCACGAGATAAATCATATTAATAAGCGTCACGTTATTTTCGCATGGTCTTTGATGGTCCACGTTGGCTGTCATTTGTTATATCCACTAAAAACATATATTTTACCATAAATTAGATTAGAAAATATTTTATTATTAAAATAAATATATAAAAAGCAAAACAAAGGTAACTTTGTATTAATTAATAGTATTACAAAATATTGTATAATGTAATATATCAGTTTTTGCTTAAAATATCAAGGAGCCTAAGTGGAAAGATTAAAGTGAGATCATCGGTGATACAATCAGCACAGAACGTATTAAATAACCGTGAAAAAGAAATATTCTCTACCGAATAAATCACAACTCTCGTATATGATGTAATAATTAATCGATCTGTATCTTGTTACAGCAATGAGTCCAGCATTAGGCATGCATCACAGCATGACGCCGCACCTGCAGCAGATACAGGCCCACCTTTTGAGAAGCGCGGCCGCGGCGGCACTCTTACCTCATACGCATCCCTTGCAACCACCCGCGCCACCGCCGCCACCACCGCATCCCCATTCTCACCCTCACACCCACGGATTGTCTTCCCATTCGCAATTGTATCCCGGTATGCCGCCTCATTCCACGTCCTCGGCAACGCTCAGCCCGCACGGAACTGGAGTGCCTCCAAAAAACGAGGTAAATAAGAAAAGACGATAAGACTCAAGATGTCTCATACACAGATAATCTCCGAGAGTCAACGTTCTCCAATGCGAATAACGCGCGAATAGTGTTCCATCATTTGTAATTAAGTCCTTACGCGTAAGCACAAAATAATAAGTCACGAACTCGTTCAATTGATTACCTCAATAATAGAGCATGCGGCGAGCATATCGTTGCGCATAGACATTAATTCCGGACAAAAGGAAAATGCAATACGCTCGTAACAGCGGACCGAGAGTGACATTCGATCGTTATTGCGAGTCGGAGGTACGACGATATACGCTCGGTGGCCCGTCATCGATATTCATTGGGAATAAATAATTGTACTCTCATACCCCCCCATCGGACTCTCTTTCTTACCTACGTCCCGTTGGTCTAAGGACGTTGGGCGACAGTGAAACAACGACAGAGACAGAGGAGCAGGGAGAAAGAGAAGGAAAAAGAGAGAGACAGAGAAAAAGATTGGGTTACTCTCTCGTGTGAGAGGGTCCTCGGGTTACAAGCAATCTTGCGCACATTATTTCGTCCGATTCCACCCCCTCCTAACGCACCTTTATTTTCCATCCCGCCGATCTTTCCTCTTTCTTCTTTTACATTGACCGTCGCTTCCTCGTCTTTGTCGTTTCCTCCCTACCGCCATCGTCACGGCAGACCCATGCTGATTTATTTGCATCCGCGCGCTCGCCGACGTAGGCGCGGCGTTTTCATTTTCTACCCCGCGTCCGCACGCTGTTAAAGTTTACCAGCGTGATTTGCATCGGCTTGCATTTTGCTTTCCATCGTCGTGTTCCGTTGTCGTCGTGCTCGTATACACGCCTCGCGTATATACACCTATACGGACGAGAATTCCCGCGATCCATGTTTACGCGTAACTTTTTTTATGCGGACTATATAATACATAACTGTGCCGTAAGATTAAACAGGTTTTTATATTTATTTTTATGCGTTTGGTTATCTTTGGTCAATGTATTCGCGTTTTTAGTGACTGATAATGACGAGGAGTGATCTGTACATACGCATGAAAACACACGGGCAAAGCTAAATTATAGTCACGAAATATCAAAGTTATAAAAAAGTTATTCATTAGGATATTGATAGCTCTATCACGAATCGTTTGCTTTTTTATATTACTCAAAAAAAGGACCTCGTTATAAAAATTCTTAACGTGCTACTGTTACTTTCATCTCTGCTAGAACTTATTTGCAAAACTGATTAGGTAACCTGAATTTGTGCTTAAATATTTATTATACGCGTGGTGGCGCAGAAAATAAATAAAATATTCTTAAAAATTTGCATTAAGTGACAGAGTTAGGAACATGGCATTTTACATTTATATTTATACATATTTTCATTGATCTACTTCTGAATATAGCCGAACCTTAATGCTTATTGAATATTTATTGTCAACCTATGTCGACAATAGACATAGATGGAGCATAGATGAAAAAATTGCATGCGTACACGCGCATATCTAATGCGTACAGGCAGGCATTTGAAATTATGTCTATATCGAAGAGAAAGAGAGGGAGAAGAGAGAAAGGGAATACGTAAGATCGAATAAAGGAAAGAGTAGCAACGTGAGCGATTTATTACGATTTGTAACAATCGACCGAATCACTATACTATCGTCTTACAAACGTGATAATTGTAAAATTGCGTGTGTCACGCAACGCGTGATATAAATTCATGACAAATCGACGTAATTGCTGCCATTAATAAGTGACGGGAACTTGAATGTAGTTGCAAAGCTTTAAATTGTCTATTTGTTGGAATTACATTTATGATCCCGAGCTCTCCGAGTATCCGAGTATAATGAAGGATATAGAAAATGATACTTATTTAACATCTGCCTCACGTATAGAGCGCAGAGTCGTGTAGGAAAGCGTCGGAATCATCGGCTCGCTCGGTGACGGCCGAAGCCGACACTTCCTCAAGACGGGCCGCCACCAAAGTCAAGAGGGAACCGGCGACAACGACCACCAACGCGACTACTACTACCGCTCCACCGACTCACCCTCAAGGTCTCAGTCCGAGTGAGGATCTCAGAGACGAACCTGGTGACTTCATCGAGACAAATTGTCATTGGAGAGACTGCGGTCTCGAGTTTCCTACACAGGTAATATACGGACGTGCGACGATGTCTTAATCTTTTATTTCTACGTCAATGGGCAATCGCCGAGAGTGACGCGAATAATTACAACCTTCATATCTAATGTTTAAGACTTTAAATGTATATTAATAAGAATAATCAATTTTACATATAGCGTTGAGGTATTTTCTTGGAATTATTTAGGGAGGAAGGGAGAAAGAAAGTAAATTATTACTATCTGTATATCTTAGTAGAGAGACTTGGTTTTATCCATATTAATCTGGCATGCATCTCTCCTACCAAACCAGGATGATCTCGTAAAACATATCAACAACGATCATATACACGCCAACAAGAAGAGCTTTGTTTGCGGTTGGGAGGAATGCTCGAGGGAAGAAAAACCTTTCAAGGCTCAGTACATGCTGGTTGTACACATGAGAAGGCATACGGGTGAAAAACCACACAAGTGTACCGTAAGTAAAGTACTTACTTGTTTCTACCGACCGAAAAGTTTTTGTATTAATCAATTACAATTAACTTACGTGCTCGAATGATAGAGTGGCTTTGAAAAATCTTGTATAAACATTGTTAATCAACGCACGTTTTATCTGACTTTCCACTGCTAGCTAAAAATTAAAAAAATAGCAATCGATAAAATTTGAAGTATTCAATTGAATAGATTTATAATTTTTGTGAATTTTATCTTTAATATAATTCATATTTTAATTATTGAAAAATAGCGATAGGCTATAAAAGAATCAAATTTACATGAAATATCATTATTACGTTGTCATATTTATTATATTATAGTCTAATAAGCATAAGTTCTCAAGTATATTGTAAAATTTATATTTAAAAATTGTAAAAAAGTTTATTATCGTGAATCTAGATTTTTCGATTCTTTATAAAATCTTAGATAATTAAAAAATCCATATACTAAAAAAAATCTATATTTTACATAATTTCAAGAAGACGAAATTCAAAGAGGAGAAATTCTTTTATATTCTTATTCAAATTAACTGCACTTTGTAAAATTACGAGAATTTGACATTTAAAAAGAAAAAAGAAATATATATGTGTGTGTGTGTGTGTGTGTGTGTGTGTGTGTGTGTGTGTGTGTGTGTGTGTGTGTGTGTGTGTGTG